TCAAGTTTCTTATTTACTAGTTCACCTCTACATGCTTTAATTGGAACTTATTGCTTCATGATCCACTCTCATTGCCTATTTGACTCTTATATGACTTAACTGAAGTTGTTACCTCTTCTATTGCCATGTTATCCCTCCCTAATCGTTTTTCCTTAATTGAAACAATGATTATCTTTTCTGTAATTGTCCATCCTTAATTGAGTTTATGATTATCTCTCTGCTGCTTATCCTTAATTGAATTTGTTGTATCTCTTTTGTAATTGCTCAACCTTAAAAGAAGTTTAGATATCCTATATCTTAGTTGACTTATCCTTATTTGGAATTATTGACTCGTGTTATCTCCGTTGTTGTTGAATTGTACTATGGAATCGTTGTTACATAGTAATTTCTCCCTTGTTGAGTTATTCTTATTATGACTAGTATTCTCTATTGTGGTTATTCCTTGTGAACTAGTTCTACCATTTCTTTGTGATCAAAAGCTCTTGAATTGATTTACTTGATGTACTCTTGTGTTATTGTCATTGTGGCTATAGTACTCAGTGTTGTGGTGCACGAGGTTTCTGCCGTGTGGTTGGGGTAGTGTTGCATGAGGTTTTTGTCGTGCTATTGTTACTGTGTATTATGCACATGCACCATGACAAGGCAGGCTATATCTGTGTTTTTGTGCATATGGCGAGACAAGGTAAGAATATTAATATGCACGTGTGGGGAGACAAGGCGGACATCTATTTTATTATTGTACATATGGTGAGACAAGGTGGGCTATGTCAGGGATTGATTTGTGATGACTTGTGATGGCCTAGGGGCATTCTTGTTGTTGTATTTGTGTAGTGGCACACTTACCTGTGTGAGTTTTATCTTGTGGAAAATTGTGGAGAAACATTTTACGTGCTATCCATTTCCCTATACTTATTAGTTGGCATGAACTATATTAGAACACTTGCACAAGCATACACGTAGTTAATCACTCATATCCATTAAGAAGATGGATCTTGATATTGTTGAGTATTGATGCACACCTTTGCTTACTTGCCTTCTATGTGAAAATGGTTATATTGGCACGAGCGTCGTCCATGCAGTACTAGTTGAAATGAGCGCACAAGATGCCAAGTGTTTAGAGTTCATAAAGTGGGACTTGTGGCTTATGGATATTCTAGGGTTGGTACCTTATGATGATTATTGGATAAAATCTGGTGTGAAAGTGGTTACTCTCATCTAGTTGCTACATGTTTTTCTTTTAATTGTGATTGCCGGATTTAGACTATTTTCAGTTTACTTTATTATGTTATTATTTGTTGTGTTCTGCTGCTAGTTGTTGTTTCTATTTCTCATTTCAAGTACCATATTAGCATCGTCATTATGCGTAGTTTTATATAGATGTCATATTCTGTTAGTACTACACTTATATTTGCTTAGGTTATTTAGTCTACTAGGTGTCTTGACTATTCATCGTCACTACTCCACTGAGGTTAGTCTTGTTACTTACTAGGTACTGTCATGGTGTACTCATACTACACTTTTACATAATTTTTGTACAGATCCAGGTATTTCGAAGTCAGTTGATCGTTAGCTAGCTGTGCAAATTATTGCTGTGGAGACTCAAGGTAAACCTACTGCTGCGTTCGAAGGATTCAGAGTCACCTTCTAGTTTTTTTTATTGCACTATTTATCCTTATTTCAGAACAGTTGTACTTAGAGGTTTTCTAGCAAGAACTATGTAGAGCTTATGACTTGTACTACCGGGGTTTTGCGATTGTAAATGTGTATATAGATTTCTATTTCAAAATTTTCATATGTTAGTTAAATATTGTTATTATTTTAGTTAATATTAGGCTTACCTAGTCCCTAAGACTAGGTGTTATCACGATACCCAACGAAGAAAAATTTGGGTCGTGACAAGTTGGTATCAGAACTCTAGGTTCATAGGTTCTACGAGTCATAAGCGAGTTTAGTAGAGTCTTGCAGATCAGTACAGAGACATCTGTACTTATCTTCGAGAGGCTATGGGACTATTAGGACAGTTTCACATCATTCATTCCTATTGTGTGAGTTTATTGTCTTGGTGTTTGAGTTTTTATCATTCTATTCTCTCACAGATGGTGAGGACACGAGCTGCAGCTATAGATGACGGTGCTCCCAGAGCAGGTGTCGCTAGAGGTAGAGGTAGATACCTATGAGGAGCACGTGTCGTAGCTAGAGCACCTACCAGAGCAGCAGTTGAGGAACTGCCAGTAGCTCCAATTGGGGGACAGGTACCGGAGGCGCCTGTTGTTACCCCTGGACTTCATGAGACTTTAGCACAGTTCTTGAGCATGTTTGGTACATTAGCTCAGGCGGGGCTGATTCTGGTTGCACCAGCTACCTAATAGATCGGGGAAGGGACTTAGACTCTCTCTGCCCATACTCCAGAGTAGCGAGTTCACGTTGGTCAGGGTCCATGTGTTATGGAGATATAGCCTGTGGTTCCAGTTTAGCCCATGGTCAGGGCAGCAGCATCTGAGGAAAAGCAGCTTAGACTTGCAAGGTTCAAGAAATATGACCCTCCTACTTTCAGTGGTTTGGCTTCAGAGGGTGCTCAGGGTTTTCTAGAGGAGTGCCATCACATTCTCCGTACTATGGGTATTGTGGAGATGAGTGGGGTTGCTTTTAATACGTTCTAGCTTAAGGGAGTGGCTTATCAGTGGTGGCAGGTATATGAGTTGGGTAGCCCAGCCGATACAACTTCACTTACATGGGTTCAGTTTTTAGAGATGTTCCTAAGAGAGTTTGTACCCCAGTCCCTTTGGGATGTATAACGTGTAGAGATTGAGCAGTTGCGCCAGGGCACTATGTTAGTGTTAGAGTATGCCGTTAGATTTAGTGATTTAGTAATTTAGCCAGGCATGCACCTGCTCTAGTTGTTGCAGTTAGGGAGCGAGTCTGTAGGTTCATTGAGGGGCTCAGGCATGATATTAGGTCAGCATGGCTCAGAAGTTGGAGTCGAATGTTTCATTTTAGTAGGTGGTAGGGATCACTCGTTGGTTAGAGGGCATATAGGACCAGGAGAGGGAGTACAGGTGAGCCTACAAGAAAGAGGGCATGCGAGGTTAGGAGAGAGAGGACAGGGAGGCAAGGAGGCCTCGTAGACCATAGAGATTCACTAGTCCTTAGTTTGGGGGCAGGGTGCAACATGGTAGAGGTTTTGTGGGTCAGCCAGTTCAGTTTGCACTTCGGGCTTCGCACGGTGTATTAGGTACTCACGGGTCTTAGAGTACTCATATCGCACAGTTCCCACAGCCACATCAGCAGAGGGGTTTCTTTGAGCGTAAAGATACTAGCCACGTGGTGAGAGATTATCCCAGACTCCGGACAGATATGTCACAACGAGGTATTTAGGTGAGTAGAGGGTTCCCAAGAGAGGGAGGCTCGGCCCGTTGATGTGTTTCATATAGTAGACTTGAGGCTGCTACGCCAGATGATGTCATACAGGTATGCTTTCATTTTTTTATAGAGGAGCATCATTCGTATTTTGTTTCACTTCTGCTTATCAGAGTGAGTTCCCCTATTTTTTGCTCCACCTATGTGTGAGTTCATGATTTAGTATTTTGCTTATGTGTGTATCCCTGTTAGGAGGTTCTATGAATGGTAGCCCGTGTCTATCATTGTTTTTATTCATTACCGAGAGTTACAAGACTAGAAGAGAATTCATGTTTTCCATAACAGTAGGTTTTGATGTGATTCCTGAGTATTTTGGTTACAACTTGTGATTTAGATGCTCTACCAGTGTGGGAGCCAGTATGTGTTGTAATTTTGTTGATGGAATTGATCTAGTGGAAGGTTTCAGTTGGTTTGATGTATATTCTACTTGTGATTTAGAGTTGAGGGTGGGACCCTGGTGATTTCATGTGATTTGACGTATTTGAACCGGGTTGCATACCGTGGTGGGAGTTATATCAGGATGAGATCCTTGTGATTTGTTCATATACTTTCATTTTTTTTCCTTGTAAATTGATTCGTAAAATAGTACTGATAGAGAGTTGTGCCTGTCGGGCTTGTTTGATATTTCTCTTATGTGTTTATCCTTAAATATTCAGTCATTTTCGTGTTGTGCTTATTGAGTTTTAGATTGCGCGGTGTGTACCAGGTAGCGTTAGATGTTACTTGTGGATTCATATGAGTAGTTATGAGAGCATCGTTGTTAGTGTTGCGAAGATTTAAAAAAGGGTTCTAATGGATGTGAGGCTAATTGCCGATGCTCAATTTGATTATGGCCCAATGTGTGGTGTATCGCACCGTGTGGTTGTACATTGTGGGGGTAGGCATAAGTTGTTGCAGCTGGTTAAGAGTGATATCGGGCGTGGATTAAGAATCAGATCTTTTGGAGATGAACAAAAGATGAGAATTTTGACTCTAAGGCTTATTTGTATTTGTGGAAGGGTTAAATTACTGTTGAGATGATGTCGTCATGCTTATATGGATTGGGGTGATGCGGGGTCACCCGCGGGTATATGATGGATGTGTGCATTGAGTGATTTAATGACTTCGAGGTGATTCTTGGCATGTTCGAGGGAGAACGTTTGTTTAAGAGGGGGAGGATGTACCTACCTGGCCAGTCATTTTGAGAGTTTAAGTCTCGTTCAGCGGCATAAGGTCTTGAGAAGCCTTGTATTATGTGTTATGACTTGCGTGCGTGGTCGAGTTTAGTTACCGGATGATTCAGAGTCAAATTGGAATAAGGTTCTAGTTTTGGAAGCTTAAACAGTAAGAGTAGACCGGAATTTGCCTTTTGTGTAAACAGCTCCAGAATGGGTTTTAGATAATTGTAAATGTGTATAGAGATTTCTATTTCAAAATTGGCATATGTTAGTTAAATATTGTTATTATTTTAGGTAATGTTAGGCTTACCTAGTCTCTAAGACTAGGTGCCGTCACGATACCTAACAGAGGGAAATTTGGGTCGTGATAATTCCAAAACTTGACTAAGTAGCCACTAGTTGATCTTATTGTTTGTAGGAAAGCTCTCATTCTGAGTCATAATAGGCTATAAGTTTATTTGTGTTGTCAGCAAGCATAAGAAGGCCAAGTCTAGGTTCAGCTTTGATGTACCTCACCATTCTGAGAGCAGCTTCCATGTGTGACACATTTGGGTAATACATGAATTGACTGAGAATTTGTACTGCAAAGGATAAGTCAGGTCTGGTCATAGTGACATATAGTAGTCTTCCAACTAACCTCTGAAAGCTACTAGGATCCATTAACATCTCATCCTCAGCATTGGTTTTCATCCAGCTGTCATACTCTGCTAAAGTTAGTTTCTGATTCATTTCAAGAGGGGTTCCAGCAGGTTTTGCTCCACCTAGGCCAGATTCAAAGATTAGTTCCACAGCATACTTCCTCTGATTCATCACTATGCCTTCCTTAGACCTGTCAAATTCAATCCCCAGGAAGAACTTCAACTCACCAAGATCTTTCAACTTGACCCTGGTTTGCAGATCATTTCTTATCTCATTTAGTTGATTAGGATTGGTACCAGTGATGAGTAAATTCTCTACATATACTAGGACAACCACAATGTCATCATTTGTTCTTTTAGTGAACAGAGAATAGTCAAAGTGGCCCTGCTTGAATCCTTTTCACCAGGGCCTCACTTAATTTCATGTTTCATGGCCTTGGGGCGTGCTTAAGGCCATATAGTGATTTGTGCAATTTTCAGACCTTCTTTGTCTCCCCCTGTCTGCAAAAACCTTCAGGAATATGCATGTACACCTCCTCAAGGAGATCACCATTGAGGAATGAATTGTGGACATCCATTCGGTTGATCAACCAATGTTTAGAGGCATCCAAAGAAATGATGGACCTAACAGTCACCATCTTAGCCATAGCGGAAAATGTCTCAGTGTAATCTAGACCCTCTCTTTGGATGTATCCTTTGGCCACTAACCTGGTTTTATATATTTCAACCTCTCTTAAAGCTATATTTAACTTTGAATATCCACTTGCATCCAATGGGAGTCTTGCCAGGTGGCAAGTCTACAATAGTCCAAGTGTTATTGTCTTCAAGTGCTACAACTTCCTACTTCATTGACTGCACCTATTGAGGATCAGAAACATCCTCTCTGAAGGTCTTAGGTTCAGATATAGCTGAGTGAAGAGCCAACATGTGCTGATAAGTGGCTTCAGGTGTGAGTAAGTAACATAGCAAGAAATAGGATATGCACAAGAGTTGCCAACTTGTTTAAAAACATAATCCTGCAGCCACACTGGTGGTTTGTTTGATACCACTTTGTTACGCCCCAACCTTGGGAGGCGTGGCTGGCATCCGGTGTCGCACTGGCCCGAGCGAACCACTCTGTAACTCACTTATCCCTTTTGTAAATATCATGGGCTAACATGGTCAGAACTCGTAATGTATAACTATAAGTGGGCAACACTGTATCAATAAACTATCGTTCTTAAAATATAAATACATATGGGTCGTCAAGGCCTCTAACATACTGTATAAAATAAACCTTTGTCTATAAAGCCTCTAAGAGTATTTGACATCAAATGGGACAGGGTACCGGCTGACCCATAAGTATGTAGTAAACCTCTGACACGATGACTCATAGACTCGATTGCACTCCAAATGAGGTGGAGTCTTACCGATCCTTCACTGAATAATAACCTCATTTACTATGAGGGCTCGTCAAACTAATTATCTATACCTACAGGCATGAATGCAGCGCCACCAGAAAAGGGACGTCAGTATGAAATAATGTAACGAGTATATAAGGCAATATACTGAAAGCTGAAACTGAACTGATAATATAATAATTGCAAGTAGCTGGAAGTCAAAGATAATCTGAAGATATGCTTACCTGCTGATACTGACTCAACTCTCTCAATATAATAAGTAAAATGGTTGTCCGACCCTATAAGGCTCGGTATATATGTATAATTGCTCTACCATAGTAGGCTCGCTCATAGGCGCTCGGCCATACTAGGCTCTATATCTCGACCAACTGGGCTCGCTCATAAGCGCTAAGCCATACTAGGCTCTATATCTCGACCAACTGGGCTCGCTCATAAGCGCTCGGCCGCAGTAGGCTCGGTATATATATAACTGCTCTGCCGTATTAGGCTCGCTCATAAGCGCTAAGCCATACTAGGCTCTGTATCTCAACCAACTGGGCTCGCTCATAAGTGCTCGGCCACAGTAGGCTCGGTATATAACTTACCATCTAATCAGAGGTTGTCAAATAGAGGCCTGCCCATCGATTATAGCTCGATGGTAATAAAAATACTTTTAATATTGTATATATGTAAACTCTCTGCTCTTTTGACCGGAAGAAGGAAATACTCAACTGAATATGCAGTCCCGATAAGAAGAATATGGTAACTTACAAAATTAGGAAAGTATATGTAATTTGTGAGACTAGAAAAATATACATAAATTTCGAAATATGAATTTTTCTCTATGCCTCGTTATCAAACTTGTGTAATTATAATATCATGCTAAAATGAAGGAAAAGCTTAGCCTTAACATACCTGAGTCCACAAAACAGCCTAGATGAAATTCCCGCATTATGTACTCAACCCTCCCATTGCAACTTGTAGCACGTAATTTGCAACACCAAAGTCTTCAGCAGTGATGTAAATCATTGTGAATCATTATTCACACACCAAGGATTGTAAATGTTATACAAAGAAGTATATACTATATATGTGAATCTTTGCCAAAATGAAAGCAAAATGACCATTCACTGTTTGGCTTCCACCTAGTCATGTATTGGCGGTGGAAGTGCTATGTTTGTGACAAATAGTGCTTATCAATACAAGATATATCCAACACACACTTATCCCCATATTTTAATATTTAATAAATATAAAAAATTATCTCAATTTGTTTAAAATACTACTCACTTTTAACACATTTTATATAACTTTACTATTATGGTCATGTTGTACCATATAAAATAAATACATAGACTATTATTTCATTAAAATATCCATGTAAAAATACATATAATTTTCTTAATCTCATATAAAGAGTATAAATTTTTGTCTACTTAATTCTTAAAATGGTAAAAAGATAACCTTATTTT